TTTTGCATAATCATGCAATGAAAATAAAAATTACATAAACGGATGATCAAACTTGACATTATTTAATAAAAATGTAATTTTTCCAAAATATCGTAATGAAAAACCGATACATTTTCGCATTCGTTTTGCTATATCGTAAACTATGTCGAAACTACTTAATAGAAGTCTGAAATGCGACTATGAATAGAGGTAAATTTTAAGTTGGTACTTAAATTTAAGTTGCAACTTTATTAGTTTCGACTTAGTTGCTGGACTATGAATACGCGCCATGTAAATTTTGAGGCGAATTAAGATTTGACATAACTCCAGCACATGATCCAATTATTAAAGATCACGACGCTTTGATGTCCGCCATCTTGTAAATGAAAACAGCTGACGGCTGTGACGTCATCCGTACCAATCGAAATTTCTTTACATTTTGATAAACGTGCGAGTTGAATACGGAGCGAAATTATTTTTGGCGACTGTGAAATTTAAGTGTAACATAAGTGGGATATCTTTGAAGTATGAAGTGCGCAGTTGCTAATTGCAATAATTTCCAAAAAACCAAAGGGATGGGGTTTCACTGCTTTCCAAAAGACGAACTTCTTTTGAGGCAATGGGTGCATTTTTGCCGGCAAAGCGTAAACCCAAAAGTGGCAAGAATTTGCAGCGAGCATTTTCTACCTGAGGATTTTGAAAGGAGCCTCCAAGTTGAAATGGGTAAGAAATTGGTCTTTGCATATAAGTCCATTGATAACAATGACATTGCAGGATTTTCCAAATTCAAGGGTGTAAAGTCAGGAGCTGTTCCGACGGTGAAAAGCAATAAAGCCTCGACATCAGATGCATCGCGGCGTAGCCGGGTCTTAAAGAGAAGTAACAAAAAAATGGTCACTGACTTACTCAAGAATCAACAAGAGAATATATCGCCGAATGTGTCTTATTCAACTGCAAATGTTCAAGATGAAATCCCGATTCCAGATTTTTCTACTTCCGAGGATATTATTAAGCAACAAGAGCAAGAAATGTAAGTTAAATATAGTTTCCATTGAAACATCCATATAAAAACTTAACATTATTTTATACAGTGAAGGTCTAAAGTTGGAAAATGTTCGCTTGCGTGAGTCATCCGCTAACCAGCTAGATAAAGGCCCCTATTATGAGTTGCATTCGATTTTCGACTGTGGTCGAAAGTGCTGAGCGAACGAATTTTCATTTGGTATTATGGCGCTCATTCGATGAAGAATAGCGCTATTGTGAATTTCGCTCGTTTAGGT